ATATTCAACTCCACTCAATCTTACATATTGATTAAAAGAGGCTCATGAGTAATACAATATTCACATTCGCATATATAATCAGCCTGAACGCGCACCCCATACAAAAACTAAAAATGTGATCTGCGTTCGTTCCTTACCTGCATATACGTAATTCGCAATATCCAAAAACGCTAACCAAAATCATTCCAAGTTTCACTTACCTTCTGCAAAGTAGAATAGAAGGCATCGAACTCATCCTCAGGAATCATCTGTGGGTGCATCTTATAGTACGCTTTGAGGTTCTCATTATTAGTCTCGATTTTCGGATACGACTTGTACTCCACTTGGCCGTCATCTCCTTCTGCTTTCCTATCTCTTCGGCCATTGCCCATTCTTCCTCTCTTAGCTCCCCTGCTACCACCCCGGCCTCTGTTTCCGCCGTATCTACCCATCTCTGCTGTGTGATTATATTTATAGAAGGTATACACAATACAAAAGTTACCTATCTGCCTTCTCCAAGAGTTTAGCAAAGATTATATACACTGTATTTGTATATTATTTTAATTATATATACCATCTTATCGGCGATCTTTCTCATAATACACGCAGAAATTCATACCCTCTCTACAAAATGACAAAAACCAGAATTTCACGTGTATGTACGAGCATTGAAATAGACGTTAAAACGTATTTATAACTTTACCCCGCAGCGGGGACGAACACAGCTCGGAAGAATTGTGTGTTTTTATTGAACATTAATAATTCATATGACGGATTAGTTATTTTCAAATCTTCGTCATAAATTTTACCCGGTCAATCGAACTCTCGTACCCAAAATCAAACACATACAGTCCTACACAATATAATCATACTCTCCGATACACAATATATGTCTACTACACTGTCATGGACCACACACACAATGTGATTGAGAGCGCAAACGAAGCGATCGATGATATTTTTCAGGATGATGGCTTCGAATTAATGCTTGATGATGCATCCAAATTATTAAAAACATATACTACAGCTATTGATTATGCCGTTCTAAGTACACCCTCTGTATATACATATGTTTGCTGACGGTATAGTACACACAAAATTGCAACGAGTGTATTACACTGGGTCTGGTGGTACCCAAATATTATAGTGACTCTACACTGGTGGACTCAGGGCTCGTGGCGTGACCCATATACAGCGTAGATGTACTACGTTTTGATGTTTCACACATTGTTTCCCGGCCGATTATACTTCAGATATACATATATATATTTATATTA